TTACTGAAATCGGTGAAAACTGTATTAATTTGTAATATCTTTTCTAATGTCTCATTTGCTTGGTGTGTGAAAAGAAATAAGTTTGAATTGATTGACCTGCCTTGCACAAAACCATGCTGTTCATCAGTAATACTGTTTTGAACGAAATTATATAGTTTGATGTAAATTATTTGCTCAAATAGTTTAGAGCAGTGGTTCTCAAACTTTTTTGGTGACGGAACTTTTAATGTATTTACCGAATAGGCCTTTTCCCATTTCGAATAGACAGGTGTATGCAAACGACCCGATGACCAGTGTTAATTAACCTACTTAATCGCAAGGTCGCGCGTCGCACAGCATCTAAATGTATGGTTAAGTTGTTCTATGCCGACGTTGAATAAACGCGTATTTAGTTTACAAGAGTTTTATTTCGGCACCCATTTATTGATAGGGGTAGACATTACAGAACCTTTTTGAAAAGCAAAGTCTAAAACACATTTCTAAAAAAAAAAAAAAATTCCTCCAAGCAAAATCATCTCCTGCCTCTTAGTGACTCAAAAAAAAGGCCTCAAGCCAGGTTCCTCCCATTTCTTCGCGGAGATCCCACAAAAAACAATCCTCCAAGCCGAATCATATCCTCCTATCCTCCTTCCCCTCTTGGTGACTTCTAAAAAAAGATCCTCTAAGTTAAATCATATATAAGAATAAGATAAATGAACAGGAAAACTGGTTTTGAGTATTTTCAAAGTAAATTTGACAAAAAATGTTTAAATTTACCAAATAAAAAGTAAAGTTTTTGTGTACTTACTTTTTATAAATAAATAATTTGTTTCTGCACACTTATTTTTATTTCACATAATAAGAAAAGAGATTGCAAGAGAACTACCTCGCCTAGAAAGTACAAATTTGAGTCAAACTTGTATTTTTATATATCTTTTACTTATCTTATGGCCAGGTTACGGATTTTGTCACAAAATACCTATAGTTTATGAGAAAAATTAATATTTTTATTAGTATTATTTACCTTAAACCTTCATATTTGTAAACGAATTTATTACAAAATAATCAATAAAGCTTAAGTAACTGCATAAAATCTAAAATTGGCAAAATATCGAATTTTAAACACTATCTCCCATTTAATGCTTATAATTCTATGTCCCACGTGACGTCACCGTCAGTCAGCTGCATGCGCAGGAACATACCGATAGTCTGTGTATCGTAATACGAAGTAGTGGCACTTTTAAACCTTCATGGCAACCCTTTAATACATATGGCGGGGTGTCATCAGTACCTTCAGCCTTTTTCTATTTCAACTTTTTTATTGCTGCTAATTATTCAGATTCACTTATTGTTATTTATTATTAAACTATTATTTACCCAGAGTTCGGTATTCTGATTTTTCAAGGCGTATGTTGACTTATTTGATGAGTACGTAGTGGTAAAAAATTCTGCAAAATATCTAGCGGTATCTTGAGGTTTAATTTCATTGTAATTGAGAATAAAACTGCCACTACTTGTATTATCTCTCTTTGTATTAATATAATTCCAAAAAATATTAATATCTTCACTAGCTGTATCTTCTATAGTTTTAATATATTTTTTGTATTCGATTTTTGTCAGTGATTTCAGTTATCTCCTTATTTTTATATATTCATTTTGATGGAAATTCGCCTATTTTACTTAATTCGTTTTTAACTTTAATTAGTTTTTTATTTCTGTATTGTACTATATAGGATATTTATTATAGTGTTTATATAAACTGAATTGTGGTTCACTAGTTGAAAATATACTACTTAAAATATTATAGAAAAGACCTAATCATTGATCTGGCAACCTAGGGATACGACATGCGAAAGCGAAAAGTGGGACCGGTCCGCCATTACTGTGAGTGCAAATTGTCAAATTTTATAGGTTATATTTTTAGTGTCATTTGTGTAATTAAATTTTAATTTAATTTGTGTTTGAGCAAATTTTGAGTGTTACAAACTTATAAACTATATAATGCCTTGCTGTGTTATACGTTCCTGCTCTAGCGATAGACGTTTTTGTGAAAAATCGACTGGAATAACGTTTCATAGGTTAGTATCAAAATTATAAATATTATACAGGACAGTATTATGACAGGTTTGTATAAAATGTGTAAAAGTATGTTTTTAAAAATGCAAAAAAAATCATCTATCAACTTTTGGGCCTACCTATATTGGAATAATACTTTTTCATACGAAATAATATTTATAGATTTCCAAAAATCCTATAAAACGTAGCGCGTGGATACAGTTTGTCAACAAGTATAATTGGTAACCTTGTCAAATTTAATTTATAGGCATTTTATGTTCTTATTTCTATTTAAATATATCCTACATTTGCTGTCCTTCCACCAATTTTATTTATTAGTTCTACAGCTGATTGAAAAGTAGAGCATCATGTTTTGTGTATGCATGAGTATTGTTTGTTTTATTATAGTTAATTTAAAACAATATTAATTTACCTTTTTAATTACCTATAATGTGTTTCAGATTAGTGCGTTTAAAGGGATTGGTGATAATTAAGCGATTCGCCAACTTTGGGAGGAAGTACTCTCACAAATTTATTTCTTATTTTGCCTAGCGAAGAAATTGTGTATTAGGAAATATTCTGGTTTTTACCTTAGTGGTCAAGAAAAGCGCTTACAGTGGATACCTTTCCTAACTCGATAAACATTTAATACCTAGATGTTGGCCTCCCTTTATCACCAGCCTACAATTTCAACTCTTTTGCTGTTAACTTTAACTTCATCTGTGACTTTAACTATGATTGAGACTTCAACTTTATCTTCACATTCTTTGTCTGACTTTCAATCATACATGCATGACTATTGTGCATAGACCAATTAAATTGGACCGGCAGGCTTGTGGTGCATGTTGTGTGTTACTACGGTAGGCCTTTACATAAGTAGCCATAATCATTGCAGATGGTGAGAAGTCCAGCTCAAACCAACTACCATAATATCGTCATTGAATCTATAGGTCTCAAGTAAGATCACTTCATATTTTACATTTGTTAGAAGTGCACCTGCACACCGCTGGTTGTGGCTTCGCTGATTTACTGAATCTACAAAAGTACCAAGACCAAGTAAGATTAATCCACATTTTGATTTCCTGAATAGTGTATCTACCTACACAGAGATTGCTTATTAGCCATTTTCCGCGAGCCGTGCATTAAATTTCGTATCTGATTATCGAGCTTTTAGTGTATGAACATTTGTTCTTAATTTCGAGAAAGCTGTTAATTAAAGTAAGGTTAAGGTTAGATTACTTGACATTTGCGACCTTGTACTTTCCGATTTAAAGACAGAAAGCATTGGGCTCATAGAAAAACGAAAAACTAAAGATTGAGCTATTTATGTGCCCTAGTGCAAACGTGTGCCGACTGATCCAATAAATCGAACTCTGTTTACTTTTGTCGCTTATGTGAACCAAAAATGTACTGTTTATTTTTCTGTGAATGATTTCAACGCTTTAGGGTTAATTTTACCATTGTGTTAAAGTTTAAACTATTAATTGAAGATTAAAATTACATTTTGTGTACAAATGTCATTTTAAACTTCGTTAAACCCAATGGTGGAATCGGCCCCAAGTTATGGTCATGGTCATTGATTAGTTGAAATTTTGCAAGTAATATATTCTCTAGCGCTTAATAGTCACTTGAGTGATAATTAAATCAGTTATATTTTATTTCTTTCATTTACTTTATTCAGCACCTCTCGGCTGAAAACCGGGCATATTTAAGCTTTTAAATTCCCTTCTTTTATAACCTCGGCCTTCCACCACCTTTTAAGTCAATGTCAATAAAAAGGAAAATAATTTTTTTATAATTCAAATAATCATACTTAACCAGAAATAGTACAATAAAAACTTGTAAATCCGGTTCTGCTCTTCCGCCATTTTAGTGAGTGCAAAGGCCACGCCTACCGGTCCCACTTTTGTGTATCAAAAATAATACATATGACGTATCCTTACGTTGCCTTATCAATGGACCTAATGCACTATTGACATTAGTTTGCGCCGTCACTTCTTCCCAATAAGTTCATATAACAGTTGGAAATTTGCTTTTTTAAAATTGTAGGAAAATTTTGTATGTTCATTATGGGATACAGAACATTTTAAATAAATTGAAATTTCTAAAGGGGGATATATACATCTTCCTTTGTCACAGGAAATTCGGCTTTGTAAACATTACAATTCTTTTCGTTATGGGCCATTACTAAATCTAAAGGTTTTCCTTGAAAATTCAGAATATTGTAAAATAATTGAAAATAATTAAAACTTTTATTGAAAGCAAAAAAAATTTCATTAGATATATCAATTGTCTCACTAGTGCCTTTGATTTCTGGTAAGTTAAAATCACCGGTTATATAAGCATTATTTACACATTCAATATTATCTTGTAAGAAACTGAAGCAAGATTCATATAACAGAACTTTTTGGTGGAATATAAACACAGGCAACTATCAATTTTGTATGTTTTACCCTAGTTTGCAATAAAATTGCTTCAAAAATTGTATTTATTTTTAGAACTTTTAATATTATCCATTTTTTATGCAACGCTATCAATATACCGCCACCTTTACATTTTTAACTAAATTAAAACTATTTAAATCTACCATATATGTCGTATGACCTTTTTTTCCAAGTCGAAATACGATTTCCTGCTTTTATTTTTCGAATTTTCACACTATTTGGGCACATTAGAATTATTTTAGGGGGTTGTCAAACGTCAAAACATAATTCTATACCATTATTAATCTCTATTGTGCACTTATGTCGTTTGACCATTTATACCAAGTCGATCTGACCTTAATTTTATGGTGCAGTCAGTTGGAAAAAATATGAACTTCGGGGGGCCAGCGAACACTCGTTTTTCAAATTTCGGAAGGCCAGCTTCACAGAGCTGTCCCAAACGAGGTTCTTTCTCACGAACACATCAACTTATTTATTTTACAAAGTAGATTATTCTTTCTTGACAGACATTATCTTTTCTAGTTTATTTGATAGAACTAAAATGACTAAAGAGGACGAGAACGGTATACAGCACATTGTAGGTAGCATAACTAACGATTTATACGCCGTACCAATGAGAAAATGTCCAAAACCTGCGGACCAAATAGAAACGATTAATTCGCCAGAGAAGGAATGGGACAATCAAAACGAATTGCCTCCTGGATGGGAAAAACATGAAGGTAAATAAATACTACCTTACGTTTTATTAAAGAATATGGTTTTCATTGTGCTCTTCTTTATTTTATTAAGATAATGATGGTCCTTATTATTGGCACATAAAGAGTGGAACTATTCAACGAGAAATACCGATCGTAGAAAATGAAAAATTAGAAAAATCAAATTCCAAATCAAATCTAAAGGATGCAAATTTAATTTCATCGTTCGAAAGTAATTTGTCTGTTACTAGGAGTAGCACCAGTTCAGCTTTAAATTTGGAGAGTGACGACAGGAAGAGGAAAGAAGAAATAGCTTTAAAGTAAGAAATAATATTATTTTTATTTTAATTACTTACCTATTAAATATTTGTGATATTAAGAGTAAATTCGGACATAAGTAAAGGTTAGCCAAAATTAAAAAAAAAAATTAAAAAAAAAAACACAAAAACAAAAAAAAAACAAAAACAACCAAAAAACAAACAAAACAAAAAGGCAGAAAATATATACAGACACAAATAAAGTTTAGCGTGTAAGAAACAAAAGTCTAAAATGCCAAATTAGAAGTACAGCAATTTTCTGTGTTTTTCAGGAGGCAAAAGTTTAAAAAAATGTAAGACCATACTGTTATACAGGGTGGCCACTTTTTCATTGAAATGTATTGCTATCTCGTAAACCGTTGGTAACACAAAGTTGGTTAAATGGGGAAAAAGTTGCCTATTTCGAAGTCCAATCTGAGGGCGTTTTGAAAACTAAAATATCAGGTCCGGTTTCCGAGATATTCGATAAAAAACAAATAAGTACCATTTCTTTATTCCGCTACAGAACGTTTATTTGTAAAAATAGACAAAAACTCATTTGAAATTTTTTGTTTTATATCAAATTGTGCGTATGATAGCGTATTTAGTTTTTTTATCCGACGTTTCGTAAATGCAGGACCACCATCAACTTCTTTATTTGAATATGGACCAATATTTTCCTGGCTCATAATTTTAATGCATGTTCAATGTTGAATACAATGATGTAATAACATATTGTGATTAGTCAACATTTCGGAAGATTTGAACATCATCAGGTAAGTTTACAAGTACGGACCTGTGTTTTGTTAGTTAAAAATATTTGAATTAGTAAATGATGTATTATCAGTGTAAGAAATCAGGTGCGTTTACTTGTACAGACCTGTATTATAAATTATTTGAAATACACAACTACATTTTAAATGTTTAAAATAATTTATTAAAAAAAAATATGTATTTAACTACTTAATCACGTCAGAAACAAATAAATGAAAATAATGATTAACGATAAGAGAAAAACTACAGTAGTTGCTCAAAATGTCCTCCTTCTTCTTCTTGAATACATAAGTCAATACGGTCTGTCATTTGAGCTATGCTGGCAGAAACCATTTGTGGAGTGATATTATTAAACGCATTAATTATCCTATCTCGTAATTGATTTAAGTCATTTGGAATACCATCATAATATACTTTATTTTTGATATATCCCCATACAAAATAATCCATAGGATTTAAGCAGGGTGACCTAGGGGGCCATCGAATAGGTCCATGTGTACCAAACCACCTCCTGGGAAATCTTTCGTTTAAATAATTTCTGATTAATGCAGCATTATGTGGCCCACAGCCATCTTGCATAAAATAAATATTTCTTCGATCACCTAAAGGAAGATTATCTAACATATCTTCTAGCAATTGTAAATAGTTGTGTTGGTTGAGGTTTTCCGTCAATAAAAATAGGACCAATTATTTTATTATTGAGTATTCCACACCATAAGTTTATTGAAAATCTAATTTGGGGTCTTACTTCTTGAATTAAATGTGGGTTGTCGGTTGCATAAAAATGTTTATTTTTTTCTATTAAATATTCCACTATTAGTAAATGTCGATTCATCTGTCCATAAAATTCGTCCATGAAAGGATACATCATTATTTAATTTTCGTTTATACCAACGGCAAAATTCTATTCTACGATTATAATCTCCAGGATGTAGCTTTTGTACAGTTTGGAATTTGTAATCATGGTACTTATGTTTTTTAAGAATGTTTTTCACAGTACTTGCAGAAACTCCACATTCTCGGCTTATTGCTCTAGACGACGTTTCAGGGTTGATATAAACTTGAGACAAAACATTTATTTCATTTATTGTATTACGTTTTAAATATTTACCACGTTTTTTTTCAATATTTCCTTCGTGAGCCATATTTAACGCTATCCTATAATAAATTAATAAAGATGGTTGCCTCCTTCCTGGATACAACTGAAGGTATCTTTCTGCAGCTTCTCCACTATTTCTGTTACATTTTATGTACACATCGTACATATCTTTTTTCTCACTTCTACTGTAACGAATCATATTTTCAATACCCTAATTAAAAATATACCAATGCTTTTATCCGATACCAGACTGTCAAATATACAATAATAAAATGTGACATGCCAGGTTAACTTGATTTAAATTTATCTGTATAATAATCAAGACGTGTTGCTAGATATACAATTATTATTGTAAGTAGGTATCTATCTGCAGTTTGTTAACTTTTTCTTTTTTATACTATGAGGAACCATATCAGTTTAAAAAATCCAACAAAATATGACAAATCAGGCTAACTTTATGTATTTAAAAATCGGGATGTACTTTATTTATAGATTAATATTGGGATTGGTCAAGTGCAAAAACCATAAAAATGGAAAATATTTTTTAGCAAATGTGTAAACGAACATGTTGTCTTGATGTAAAGTTAAAAGTTTGACTTTGACTATTTATTATTTATAATCTCTTACAACGATAATACATCATTTACTAATTCAAATATTTTTAACTTACAAAACACAGGTCCGTACTTGTAAACTTACCTGATGATGTTCAAATCTTCCGAAATGTTGACTAATCACAATATGTTATTACATCATTGTATTCAACATTGAACATGCATTAAAATTATGAGCCAGGAAAATATTGGTCCATATTCAAATAAAGAAGTTGATGGTGGTCCTGCATTTACGAAACGTCGGATAAAAAAACTAAATACGCTATCATACGCACAATTTGATATAAAACAAAAAACTCCAAATGAGTTTTTGTCTATTTTTGCAAATAAACGTTCTGTAGCGGAATAAAGAAATGGTACTTATTTGTTTTTTATCGAATATCTCGGAAACCGGACCTGATATTTTAGTTTTCAAAACGCCCTCAGATTGGACTTCGAAATATGCAACTTTTTCCCCCATTTAACCAACTTTGTGTTACCAACGGTTTACGAGATAGCAATACATTTCAATGAAAAAGTGGCCACCCTGTATATAAACATTTCAAAAATGAAATAAAAGAAATAAAAAATAAGGCAAAAAAACAAACAAAAAACACAAAAATAATAAAAAACAAAAAATATATAGACATAAATAAAGTTTAGCGTGTTAGAAACAAAAGTCTAAAATGCCAAATTAGAAGGACAGCAATTATCTTTGTTTTTCATGGGGCAAAAGTTAAAAAAACCATACTATGTTATATTTATAAACATTTGAAACATGAACATATCAAAAATACAGATATATGTACATGAAAAAAAGAAACAAAATAAATAAAAACAAGACAAAAAACAACAAAAAAAACACAAAAACAACCAAAAAACAACAAAAAACACAATCAGACAAAACAAAAAACCAAACAAAAAACAAACAAAACAAAAAAGACAAAAAATATATACCGGTTGGACCACTGGTAACGCCTCGTTCTGTGGAGCCAAATTTTTTAAAAATCTATTTCCACAACTAGATAGGATGTATGTTAGCGAAGAAGATAACAATTAAAAAATAATTTCAATTATACAGGGTTTTCCAAGAAAGTGATACATGTCAAAAATAGTTTGTTTTTAATTTTATTATATATAAATAGTTTTTTGTTCGATTTAATGGCATAGAAATCCAATATAGCGTTCATAAGAAAAGCAAAACTGAAGATTGAATAATCCTTAGTTTTCCTTAGAACATTTTTATGGCTTTTATAATTTATACAATTTAAACAGTATAATATTGTTGAATTGGGAATTTTATTGACTGTTCAGTGGTATAAAAATCCAATATGGCAGCCATTAGAAATAACAAAGTTAGCTATGGTTGCTCAAAATCTAAAAGGCCTGGAAATTTTTCGATAACGCCAGTCAATTGGGCGTAGCTCATAATACAAAATTCTAAATTTTTGTTAAATTTGCTCAAACGATGTAGACAATATCGTAAGTTTTCCGAAATGACAATTTTTAGTTTTTATCCGATATTTTGGAAACCCCTGTAGATTTTAGATTTCAAAGCAAATTTTTAATGGGCATGAAATAGCGCAACTTTAGGATATCCCAATGGTATATAATGTAGGAATGACCACCCTATATACAGGGTGGGCCACCAGTAACGCCTCGTTCTGTGGAGCCAAAATTATTTGATTTTTTAAAAATCTGTTTTCACAACAAGATAGGATGTATGTTAAAAAAGAAGATAACAATTTAAAAATAATTTCAATTATACAGGGTTTTCCAAGAAAGTGATACATAACAAAAATAGTTTTTTTTTAATTTTATTTTATATTTGAATTGTCCTCGCTTTTCCCATTATAACAATACTGAATAGTATGAGATTATACAGGGTATTTCACACGCTACAGCCAGTTTTATATTAAAATCGTATTGATTTTAATGACCTGTATAGTACAAAAGAAATAATTGAAAACCAATTTATTTGCGGAAAATGGGTTTCGATATTAGTGAAAATTTATGCCGGTGCACTACTCTTTCAGTTCGAAACAAATCTATACAGGGTGATTCAAAACTGAAATAGATCTTTTTTTTTTTTTTTTTTTTTTTTTTTTTTTTTTTAGTTGACCATCCTGTATTTTATATCACCATTTAAAAGTAACATAATCAAAATTTCATTTGAGTTGAGCATTCCCTATAGTTAAAGTTAATAATTTTGAAAGATTTTTAAATTTACAAAATAGTTTAATTTTAAATGACCACTGGTTAACAGGAAGTAGACTGTTTAATGATGTGAATGTAATTAACTGTAATTTATTATCAAATAAAAAAGTTTTTGAGAATTTCTAATAGGATTTACATTGTTAAAAATAAATACAAAAAAATAGCAACCAATTTTAGCTTACTCCATTATAAAACCTACCTTATTCTAAGTTTATTTTATTTTTAAGTTGACTTTGAAACCTCAATATTGATAGTTCATTATTAATAACATCATTAGTGTTAGAATATACATAAAAAAAAAACAAAAAAAATAAAAAACAACAAAACAACAAAAAACCCAA